GCTGCTTTCAGCCTTAACTGTTTATTTTAGAAGGTGGGACATAACATATATATATATAAACATTAGTACACAAAATAGTTATTCAAATTGATTCTAGTACTGGTATGAACCTTGTAAATCTTTCACGTTTCTTTTCAATATCTATCAATCTTTGAGAACAATTGAAATGTTTCCCTCCCTTCTTCATTATTACTTAACTGTTAATAAGCATACCATTGGATAGTCATACAGTTGTATCTTATAAATTATTTACTATTAATAAGCAAAATAATTATTCAAATTCATTCTAATAACTGGTATAAATTTCCTTATAAATCTTTCACATTTCTTTTCAATATTTTATCGATCTTTAGAAACAATTGTAATGTTTCCCTCTCTTCTTTATTATTGCATTAATTATAAATAAACATACCATTAAATAACAATATAGTTTTATCTCATAGATTATTTACTTATTTCATTTCTAACTCATTACAGTATTCTACTGTCACAACACTATCTTTTGTACCTTTGCATAATCCTAACTTTTAACTTAATTTAACCATTGTCTCTGTGTTTTCTAGCTGAGCAGATACCTTTAATCCTAGTACGTTTCCCCTTTTTCTTTATTTCCTGTTTTTGTCCCTCATAAGTTGTTTCCCTTTCTATCTTTCCCCCCTTTTTCTCATCCCTTTTTTTATACCCTTCTCTCTCTAATTTTCCCTTCTGTAGTTTTCTTTTCTGCTTCTCCTTGCTGTTGTACTTCTTTTTCAGACTATTGATCTCAAACTTTTAACTCCTTTCCCTCTTTTCCCCCTTATTACCACACTTTGCATTATTTGACCATTAAAAATGGCTTCTTCTTGGGTTAGTTTGTCCATTTTGGCGCATTGTAAAATTTTCTGAATAACCATATGTTCAGTGGGGATAGAAGGCATTAAAAAATAAAGAATCCTCATCCTATTACAACAATTGGAATCCTTTGTATAATTGGCTAAACCAAAGATAGATCACCTCTAGGAAAACTATGGCCGAGGGCCTCCGAAGCAGAGATAAAGAAAAGCACCGCCGATGATATTTTTGAAGAAGAAAGGATCTTACAGACAGTCACAAAATATGGTTTTATTTTAACTGTTTTCCCTACTCTACCCTTCCCCTCCCTTACTCTTCCCTTTTCCCTCTCTTAGGCTTTCCTCTCTTTCCCTCTTGGCCTATGCTAAGGCCTGTTTGTCTTTTTGTTGTACATAACTTGTAGTTGTGTTGTGCTTTTAAAGGTAAAACTAATAAAGTATTTTTCCAAGAAAAATGGCTTCTTCTTTGTCCCACCCTTCTTCTTGCTCTTGAAGCTTTTCCTTTTCATAGTTCAGGATCTCCATTTCAAAAAATTCAAATACGAAGCCAAAGGATCTTCCTCCCCTTTCTGCATCTTCTTTCTGTTTTTTAAGACTCATCTTCAATTCCTCCAGGAGTGATGGCATTTTAAACACTTTTGAACAACCACCCAATTGACTTTAAGTAAAAACAGAAAAAGAAAGAAAAAACCAATGCCAAAAACTTTTTTTAAAATCACTAAATGATCCCAAACTGTTCCTTCTTGTTTCTTTCCTTTACTTTTCCTTTCCGTGGGTTACTGTCTCTTTTAATAAGATTTCAGTTACAATGTATCCTCGGGAGTCTTTTCAAAGTTTCACTGTTAATCCTCTTTATTTTTTCAGGTGACACTACATTTTTCCATTAATCCAAATCCCACCCTTTTGCCTCTACTCTTCTCCTTTTTAGGGCTTTAAAATGACCAAGAGAAAATCTTTATTCTCCTTTTGACACTTAGATTTCAGCTTAAGGTTGCCTATTAGTGTTGAAATAGATTAATATAAATTTCTTTCCATACCATTTGAAATGGTCAATATAAAGGTAAAAAAAAGGTTTTTAACCTCCTTTTCTCTCTCCTTTGAAGCTTAAAGATCTTCTTTCAGAAGTATCCCATTAGGTACTTTTAGATTCAGGGTACCTTGCTTAGATGTTCTCTGTTGTTTAGCCTGGTCTGTCCTGCTTTCCTCTTTGTCTTCTTCCTGCACAATCTTATCCAGTCGGGTTCTTCTTTGAGGTGGCCATTTCTGACCACCGCTGCAACTGCCTTCGGGGAAGGGAGTTTAGACCAGCCAAGGAGGAGAGATGCGGCTCCCCTCCACTTGGCTAGCAATCTCCCCCCTCTTCACCACCTCTACGGGGTGGCTTCAGCTCCAAATCCAAAGGATTGGGGCGCTCCAGTGGCAAGCACAGATCGAAACCGTGCATGATTGTGGATTTCGGTCTGTCGCTGATGAGACCCAAGCTGGAAGCACCTAGAAGTCCAGCAGAACTTTTAATGGGGCAGAAGTTAAGATCAGAGCTAGATAGATTACACCCAAACTACAATCCAAGCACACCAATAGATTTGACGAGTAAATGCAGATATTTGAAGATAGGTCAATCCGTCTATGCTCACAACTATAAAGAGGGGCCACCATGGGTCCCTGCATGAGTAGTGCAAGTCACAGGTCCCCAATCTTATAGAGTAGAACTAGAAGATAGGAAAATATGGAGCAGACACATAGACCAACTCCAGGGACGATTGGAACAGAATCTGAATGACCAGAAAACCTCAGAAACAGAAACACAACATAGAGAGGTAAGACCAACCCTAACAACTACAAATACTGAAAACACAAGCCTCCTCACTCTAGGGTGGGACTCAAACTCAAGTACACCACAGGATAATTTAGCTGAAAGGGGGGAAATCCAGCAAAGGAACTCAGAGCCCTCTGTTCCATTGGAGCCAGCCCCGCCCCTGAAAAACCCTGAGGCTGGCTCTGGAGTGACAACAGACCCAACTAGTCAGGTTGCCACCACTGGGTGTGTGTGTGAACTGTGAAGGTCCAGTCGCACTCACAGGAGTCCCTCCTACTTACGTGATTATGTCTGTGAGTGAGAGCTGATCGGATGAATGCTTCTTCCAGGAGGGGAGGGGTGTTAGATATTCAATGGGAAAAGTCAGTGATGTCAGACTTCCCCCATTGGTTCATTTTCCAGGCGGGAAAATGAACAGCCGTCAGTGGCTGAAATTGTGGACAGCAGCCTGTAAAAAGAACAGCAGGCACACCGGGCAGCAGTCTTTTGTTCAGAGCTAAATAAAGAAATCCTTTCCTTCTACCGTTGTCCTGCCTCTTCAATATAGCCCATATATAACAATAAGCACTTACCTCTTTCAAATAGTTCATTTTCTTTTCTAGCTCTTTTGCAGTTTTGACAAGTTCAGCTGATTGCTGTGTGAGAATTTCTGCATGAGTAAGAGTTTCCTTTGTGTTCTTCCGCAGAGAAGCACTTTCATATGTTAAGGAATCACTCGAACACACAATTTAACATTCACATAAAAAGCTAAAAAGCACTACAATTCTGCTCAGAGTTATGAAGAGCTCATTTTCATTTAAACACCTGAAATCAATGAATTGGATTCTCCATAATTTGAATAATTTTATTCTCCATCCAAATTTACCGTTTGTGATTAACATGTACCTGAATCATTTATTGGCCTCCCCAAAATATACAATATAAGACACATTCAAATCTATATTTAAAAATTGCTAACTTGTAACTAACATGAAACATATCATGTTAATTTCATATAGCATTTTAATTATGTGAAGTTGACTTCTAACAATTGGTCCTAGTATTTCAAATTAAATTGAGAATTAGACTATAGTACAGTCTAGTGGCTATGGTATAATTTGTATATTAAATGATCAAAAGTTTAGAAAACATTACATAAAACATTTGAAAAGATGAATCTCTGCTAGCTTCTATAAATCTGGGGCCGAGGTAATGATGTTAATGTGAATGTTAATTCCATTTCAAATAAAACATGAAAGAAAATTGCATTAATATATTGAATGAATTTACACTGGTACTATACTGATAGAATGGTATCCAGGAATAAAGCAAAGTATTCTACTTTTGTGTAATCCCTCCTCAAATCTCCAAATTGGTTCACTGGACTGGGGGACCTATTGAAGCAAAATTAGACAGACATATAGGGGGAGAGATGAAGAAGAGTGAGGGTATAAGTCCATTTTTAGACATAGGCTCTAAGAGATAGCCACATTTGCTTTAATTTTATCCCCAAAATTTAAGATGCAATATGATGTATGGAAGGATAACAATTTACATTTAGTAGTTCTAAAAATAATACATACCATAACTAATTACTGTAATAATCTTTTATTTAACTAAGTAGAGTCATTTTAAACCAAATTTAAACTAGCGCTTCCTATTTCCCTATATGGTATCTTGATTACAATTACATATCCTGAATATATGAGCATTGTCCACAATTCCTTCTCATCGTTCTAATTTAGTCAGCTTCTTAAGTGGCAAAATACATTATTGGTACATATGCTTTCCAACTGATTTAACACCTTGCAACTATCAAGCTTCCCAGGAGGTGACAGACGGGTGGACTCTGGTGGTGATTAATGCTTCCCTACAGGACGGAGCAGTGCCCCAGCAGTTTAAGGACTGTGGTCTGTCCTCTTCTTAAGAGGCCATAGCTGGATTCCACCCGGTTGGATAATTTCTGACCTCTCTCCAATCTTCCCTTTTGGGGGAAGGTTATTGAGAAGGTGGGTTGTCCGGCAGCTTCAGAGGTTTCTGGATGAAACAGATTATCTTGACCCCTACCAGTCAGGATTCAGGTCTGGATTTGGGACAGAAATGGCATTGGTTACACTTTTGGATGATCTCTGGTGGGAGCGGGATGGGGGTAGTGCTTCCATCTTTGCTCTACTTGACTTCTTGGCAGCTTTCGATACCATCAACCATGGTTTTTTCCTGGGGCGACTTTGGGAGATGGGAATGGGAGGCCTTGTGCTGTCCTAGTTCATTTCCTTCCTCTGTGGCCATTCTCAGTCAGTGTTGATAGGAGGGAAGAGAGCCAGCCCTCGCCCATTACTTTATGGGGTTCTGCAGAGCTTGGTACTCTCTCCACTCCTGTTCAACATTTATATGAAGCCACTGGGTGAGATCATCTGTCACCATGGACTGAGGGATCATCAATATGTGTCAGCCCATGATGAGTTAAGTGATGCTGTGTCCTCCCTCTAGCAGTGCCTGGGGGCTGTTAGGGGCCGGATGGGGAGCAACGAGCTGAAACTAAACCCTTGCAAGACCGAATAGCTCTAGTTTTGGGGTTTGTTGGCTCAGGGAGATTGGCACCTTTGGTCTTGGATGGAGTGGCACTACCGCAAACAGACCCTGTGCATAATCTAGGGGTTTTCCTGGACTCACGATTCCTGCTCGAAGAGCAGGTGGCAGCTGTGGCCAGGAGGGCCTTTGCACAACTGCAGGTTGTGCACCAGTTATGCCCTTTCCTGGACCAACAGTCCCTACTCACAATAACTCATGCCCTAGTCAGATTAGAACGACTTCCATTCTAATACTCTTCCAGAAGGTGCTGAAAACCTGGTTCTCCCAACGGGCCTGGAGAACCCAGAGTGGGATGGAGCCCATTAAATGGCCTGTGTGATCTATTGTCGCCGGGGCAGGGAGTGGGAGTTGGGGAGTGATTTTGTTATATTGTACTATATTAATTTATTTGATTTTTTGTTAGTTTTTATTGTTTTAAATGTGGTTTTATATTCTGTAAACTGCCTTGGAACGCCATGGGTGAATAGGCGGCAGTATAATTCAATAAATAAATAAATAAATGATAGAATCAAAAGGGGGAAGAAAGACTTGAATGGATACATATATGTTGCCCATGAAGAAAGTGATTGGAAAGGACCAGGTTCTGGAAAAAAAGATGGTAATCATTTAATCTCATAACTGTTCTGCATCTTATTAAACAACAAAGAAAGAAAACAGAATTTTGCTAATTCCTTCAACAGAAATTAAACCTAGATTTTATGGTCTCAGAACAATTCCATTTCATACCAATCTTGTCCTGTTTATAGAGATCCTCTTTCCTTTTTTTGGCATATTAGTTTTGGGAGATGTGCATAGATACATACTTACAAACTTCATGGTATTTTTGAAAAAATGTAACATTAGAAATCCAAATCAGCAGTTCTAGAAGAAAATGTTTATAAACCGAACATATAGAAGTAAAGCATATGAGAAATTAATTAGTCCATGTGTGGAATACAGTATTAATCCAAATAAGAAATACAATATTTTTAAAGCAAATATACACATTAAGCATAATATGACAGATTTCAGAGTAATGCAATTTTTATCAATAGCTTTTAATTTCAGGGGAAAATGCCATTTTGAATATGCCCATAAAGGGAAAATATTGTGAAACAATAATTTAACTTTCACATTTATTTTAACTTATTGTCTAAAGACTGCATAAATGAAATTAAAATTATTAAAAGCATATTTTACTGTGAAGATCTATAAGTTCAGCTTCTTTCTGCTTAAATAATTTGGAATGTTGTTGAACTCGATCTTGAATTTCTTCATATTCTTTTTTTTCACGATAATATTCTTGGGCAATTGTAGTTTCTAAATATTTTGCTTGGTGCTGCCTGAAAACTTCTTGATATTGATTCATATAATCCTGGTACATTTTTCTTTTAAAACAAGAAAATAGCCATTTTTCACTGGTGAATAATTGTATTTTCAAAAGATGATCACATTTTACAATATACACTATGTTCATGTTTTACAACAATATTAACATCATATGCTATTATTTAATTAACTGTGCATATTTCTGACAATTTGTATTTATTACTAATATATGGTCAGGAATGCTTTGCTTGATTTAATTAGGGCATCTGTTGGAACCCTGACATATATACTATCACTATTAACCATATGTGACATCCTAATTGTAACTACCCATGAAAATATATTTTATATTTTTCTCAACTGCAATTTTCATTTCTTTTTAGTAATGAATAAAATTTATAAAATTATCAATATTTCATCAAATTATTCATAATATAACCATTTCTAAGCGTTTAACAAAATATGGCTGGGAAATCACTGGATATAAAATAGACCAAGTTGAAATGCTTAAATATCTGGACATTGCTCTTCAGCTCTCATATTCCTAAAAGGTAGATTATGCATCATGAATACAGCCCGCCAAAAGACTGTATTCCTATTGCCAAAAGGTGTAAGGCTATAATTTCAATGTTCTTTTTCTATAATGTGGATTTGTAAATCCCTTTTCCCCTTAAAATAATATTATAATTCTGTCATTCATTTATTCAGTCTTATATATTCTGTCTTTTAGCACTGTAGTATTGTACATATATTTTATTAATTTTATTTCTCTTAATTTAATAAAAATATGTTTCCATCTGAGTTTTTAAAATTTGATTTCAAAACTCTATACTATTCTGGTTAATGAATATAATACAAATGTTTAAGATGAAATGTTAATATGTCTTTGCATACTTGTCTTTTTCTGTTGCTTCTTGGTAATTCTGAAGTTCTTTCTGTAAATATTCTTCATGTTTTTTCAAAATAACATATGTTGGTTTCCAGCTAGATCAATAAGTTTAAAATGATAACAATTATTTATTTGTTTAGTCAGCATAATTTAAGAATTGTCCAAAGTAACAAAGCTATAATATAATTCTCTCTGAACTCTTTCCAGTGTCTCAACATCTTTTTTATACTCGGTCATCACAATATAAAAAAGATGTTGAGATTCTGGAAACAGTGCAGAGAAGAGCAACAAGGATGATTAGTGGCTGGAGGCTAAAACATGTGAAGAATGGTTGCAGGAATTGGATATGTCTAGTCTAATGAAAAGAAGACTAGCAGTGTTCCAAATTTTTAAAGGGCTGCCACAAAGAAGAGGGGGACAACCTATTTTTCAAAGCACCAGAAGGCAAGACAAAAAACAATGGATGGAAACTAATCAAAGAGAGAAGCAAACTAGAACTAAGGAGAAACTTCTTAATGAACAATTAAGAGAACAATTAACCAGTGGAATGCCTTGCCTTCAGAAGTTGTGGGTGTCCCATTGCAGGAGGCTTTTAAGAAGAGACTGGGTAGCCATTTGTCTGAAATAGTATAGCAAGGAGTTAGACTAAATAATCTCCAAGATCCCTTCCAATTCTCTTATTCTATGTTCTACTGCTGTGATGGAGAACCTATGACATGTATGCTGGAAGTGGCACACAGAGCCATCTCTCCAGGCACACCAGACATCACCCATTACTCTTCTGGGTTCTGACATGCGCATGCTGGTCTTCACGTGTGGGAGCACCAGAAATGGGAATAGGAGCTCCCCAGCGTACATACGTATACTGGCCAGCTGGTCTTCACGCGCATGGGAGCGCCAGAAACCAGAAGACCAGTTCCCTGATGTGTATGCGCGTGCCAGCCAGCTGATCTTTGCTTGCACGTGTGTGTTAGAAAGCGGAAAACCAGCTGACGGCACATGTGCGCACTGGGAAGCTGAGCTTCTGATTTCTGGTGCTCCCGTGCAGCGCCCCAGGGAGCTGCTCTTCCAGTTTCCGGTGTGCGCATGCACAACTCCATAAGTAGTTTAGGCACTGGTGCCGAAAAGATTTGCCACCACTGTTCTAGTGTGAAGTGTCATTGAATGACAAGTTAAATGTTATCAGTTTACTATTTTCCCTTTTTAGTTTTAACTGCTTGTGTCCTGATTATACCTCCAATATTGCAAACATTCTTCAAAGGAAAATTGATGATTTGAGTTACATTACTTTGCATATTTTCAGCTCCTTTGGGTGCAATCTGGAAGCAATTTTAAGGAGTGCGACAAATATGGTATCATTGCATAAATGTCATAACTTACCTATTTGCAACATATGCTGTGACATAATAACATAATTGCATTATTTTGTGATGATGATGTCATTGATCACATGGCATCATTTTGACATCACTGTGTTATTATGGAATTCTTATTATTGATTTTTAGTGATTTTGATAATTTTTCCAGTGAAGAGAAGAATAAAGTAAGAAGAAGGGTAAAACATGGTTTATATAAATAATTATAAGCATATACAATATACTTACATGTTACAGTTCTCTTTATTGGTATTATTTTGTCTGCATAAGCTAAGAATTGCTTCCTCACTTTTATTTATTTCTTCATGTAGGTGGCAGATTTCACTTTTTTTCTCCAAAATGTTTGCAGTATATACTGAAAATAAAATTTTGTATATCTGGTATATAAAGAATTTAAGACTGAAATAAACACTTCATGGCATAGCATAGACATAACCATCTGTTCCCAACCACAGTGACACCAAAATGACAAAACTTATTTGTGAAAAGATAAAATATCTCTACCATTTCATATTTGTATTATGATATCACATGCGGATGGGTAAGGGAGAAAATAGCTAAAGTGATAATAGATCTAAGATATTGAGAGGCAGAAATAAAATTGCTTTGGAAAAAGTAGTAAGAATATGAAATACTTTATAATATGAAATATGAATTCATAAATGTGAAATATTCAAAATGATACTAAATTTGCAAAAGTAAAAGTAAAAATAAATCCTTGAATTGAACCATGGCATTATTTTTTTTCTACAATATTGCATCCTTTTTTATATATTGATAAAATATACTCACACTGTATCTGTTGTCTTTCATATTCCTTGGAGTAAGATGCTTGTTCAAGCTGAAAAACTGAACAAGATATATACATATTTTATATTGATATAAATCAAATTTAAATGTAAAAAAAAATATGCATTTTCAGTCATAGTTTGGTCAATTTTTATTGCCATTCTACATGAATTTCAGTTGAATTTGAATCATAGCAGAGGTGATATTCAGCAGGTTCTGACCAGTTCTGGAGAACCAATAGCGGAAATTTTGAGTAATTCATTGAACCGGCAAATACCACCTCTGACTGGAGATTTTACAGTATCCTTCCCCTGCCATACCCACCAGAATCAGTTGTAAAAAAAATTGAACCCCACCATTGAATCATAGTATGTAATTTCCAGATCTATTTATTCCAGATCTAATTCTGTATCTCCAAGTTACTTTTACTATTGAAAGTTTACAATTATTTTTCTTGTTTAGTGTCTCCTTGTTCATTTAAAAAACGCAAAAGGTAAAATAAAAGAAATGGGAATAGGAAAGTAAAATGAAAAATAAGAGAAGAGTTTGGGGCTAACAGAGCTGACCTGCAAATATATAAATGATCTTTATTTGTAAGTCTGTTCTGCTCTAAACAACATAGCTCCATATTTAATTTCTAAAACCTTTGTCTGAACTAAGAAACATTTTAATGAAATTATAACTAGTGACATTTCTATGTAATATCACATCCTCTCATAAAGAGCTTTATATAATAGCCATCTGTACAATTAATTCAGATAATCCAAAAATTTTGACTACTTGGAATAAAAAGTTAGGAATTTCTTTTAGTGACTATTTTTAGGATAAAACTTTCTAACATACCAAGTTGTAGCAGCAGCTTGTCCAGATTGCTTAAGAGAATATCAGCCATTTTGCAATCTAAATTTAAAAGCAGGAAAAGAAAATTATAAACTTACAATTGCAGAGAATCACCCAAATAATATTTTTCATTGTTTGTTCATTTATTCTATTTCCTATATTCAAACTTCATTAATAATTGTTGCCATCACTATTCCCAATGTAAACTTGTATAAGTTGAGGGGGGTAATTTACAAAAAACAAGCAAAGGTGCAAAGTTTCAAGAAAAGAATTAAAGAGAAATACAGATGCTGAAAAGCTGAAAATCAGATAGAATCAAAAGGTAAAATTAATAAATATTAAACTATATTCAGTAGTTGAATTTAATTGTATTAAAGAGGTGTGGATCTCATGCCTGGGTGCTCAAAATGTTTCAGTCTTCAAATATTTTAACTTCCAAACAACCTTTCAAAATGCCTAACTTGAAGCAAATTACATGCTCCAAAGTTTTCTACCAAATGTGACATTTTAAGTTGAAAGGAGTTTTTTTTTAAAAAAACAACAACAACAACACCTACCCTATATCACAACAGGGGGTTCAATTCATGATAGAAAAATACAACAGTTCATGTTGTCAGTTTGATTAGTATATACAGGTCTGGGGTAAGGGTGTCTATGAAAGTCCCTGTTAAGTCTTTTTTTTATTTAATATTGGAAATGCTGTTTTACAGGAGTTGTGTTTTCAAAGAATGTATTACACATATTTTAAGCTGCCCACAATCTTTCGGGAATTGGACAACCTTAAAAAATCTAATAAATAATAATGCTATATTATTGTTGTGTTTAAAAAAGCTTTGCTGAAGGAAAGATATAATTTATATTCATGGTTTCTGTGAATGCTTTGCTCTGCTTTAATTTGCTGGCACGTGATGCAAAAGTTTATTTCTTTTGATTAGTTTGACTGAAATATAATTATTGCTAACTTTACTAACGTTGTATAAATGACCGTTAGTACTTTATTGGATTTAGTTGGCTTGTTGAACTTTGGTTTGTAAGTACAATCTGTGTATGATTTTCTTCCCTGCTTTACAAATTTTTTTCTGTGGTATTAAGAGGCATCAATAATGACCCCATTTTTGAAGGAAGCAGTTATACTTTCTACAAGCAGATACATCAAAAAAGAACAATGCACTTGATTTTATTTGGTTAAACCTGCCAAGGAGGCAAAAAACAAATAGGGAAAGCAGGCTAAACTTAAAAGCATCTTTAAAAAAAAATAAGGATAAATAACTTGAACAAATATAGACAGGTATCTCATTTTCAAAACATAACATTACCAAATTTTCATAAAATTTTGATGGCAGATAGCATTCACTATGGATTACCTACAGTAAGAGCATACCGAACACTCGTGTTCCTGCTTCAGTGATAAATAAGGGAAGAGAAGTTGGTCCTGAATATCTAGTGTTACCTGTGAATAGAACATTTGAAAGCTTACAAGTTTTGTTCTGACAGAACTCAGAAGCCAAGACAAATCATTTAAAGTTTTCTTTATGCACCACATTTTGAGAAAGGCAGTATCATTCCAAGTTGGAAATAACACTCTTTTTCTATTCTGTCCACATTTCTAATCCAGATCTTCCTCTAACAATCCTACAAGACAGGTGGGGTAGTAAGATCAGTGCCTCAAGTTGTGGATGACAATTGTTCTCACAAACAGGGTCACCTCTCCTCTGCTGTATCACTTCACACTTAGTCTCTGAATATCTGGGTAGTATGTGCTTTGGTGAGGCTGCCCTTCTGCCCCTTTGCAAAAGGATGTCCCATTCTTTGCCACTGCCTGGATGTGTTTAGTCCCCATTCATGGGTCTGTATGCCAAATATCCTCTGAAATGCTGCCCTCCTAAAAAAAATTTTTAAAAGGTTCAGAGACCTTTTATCATATCTCTTCACTATCCATTTAGCCATCTTTTTAAACTTATCTGTCTTTCCTTATGGGAAAAAGTTTTAGCATCCTTTAAGCTTATTTATTTTGAACTAGCTCTTTTGACAATAATGTGGTCTATAGGTGTCAGCAACTAGATTTATCTTCATATCTTGAGAAAAACTAAAAGCTGTGCTTGTTGATTTCTGCATACTGAGTCACAGCAGCAAATTATAGTAATTATTTTTCTGACTAATAGTTTTTTGTACAGAAAAGACTGTGCTCCAATGTCTTTCTTCTTTACTGATAGATTGATTGTTATTTGTCTGCATATCTTACTTTTTTATACATAAGATGCTCCCTGATATTTTCCCCCTTAACAACATCACTCGAGATCTGGTTAGTCTTTCTCTTCCAATTTAGTTTTCAATTGTCTATTGAAAAAGGGAAAACATTTGTACACACACTAATCTATTCAAACATTATTTGAGGGGGAGATGATACTGCAGTAGCTATTTTTTCCTTACTTCAGTTCTAATATCCTACTAACTTCCCTCCCCATAATAAATAAAAAATAAATAAAATTATTTATAAGTAAATAATTTATTTTTATTTATAAATAAAAATAAATATTCTGCCAGAATTTTAAAAAGCTCATGTGAGAAGCAATTTTGCAGCTTTAAAATAGCTTCATCTATCGCACTTCCACAAATTCAGCCTTTTCAAGCTTCTATTTGCAATTTTCCTCAGCAGTTTTTCTCCAGCCTCTTCCTCCCCGCTCCTCCCTCCGCCCCGCTTGAGGGTTTTAGGTGTAGTTGGGAAAGTAAGTATTTAAGAAAGGAGTACTGGAAACACTGAGGGCTGCAATCAGAAAGAAATCCATATATTTTGAGCAGCAGCAGCAAATTTTTCCCCTCACTTCAATCCCTGAAGGCGTCTTAGCTTTTGAAGAGAGCAGTCAGGAGTCCTTGGGATCTGATGTAGCAACAGTTCTGTGATTGGCTGCTGGGCCTTTGACTTTGTCCAATAAGATTCAGTAACTGCTCTGACAGGAAGGGGGGGGAGGAGCCTTTTGAAAAAGCAGTTGGGTTGAGGGCAAAAAAACTGATTAGAGCATTCCTTATTATTCACATTTCCTAAAGTTACCAGATGGTAAACCAAATGATCTACTGTGTATTTCAGAATAGCAGTAGCAATAGCACTTATATATCACTTACATCGTCATTTCCCAATATCATCTACATTCCCAATTAGTTTGAGTTAGGTAGTCACACTCCAGATCCCTCTCCTGCTTGAGCAGGGGGCTGGACTAGAAGACCTCTAAGGTCCCTTCCAGCTCATTCTATTCTTATTCTAATTCCTTCTCTCGGGAGCTACTTTTTGCTGTTATAGACCATTTGCTCTGAACTAGCTTGCCTCAGGACATCATACTGGCTCCTTTCCTCCTACTTTTTAGAAAATTTGTTGAAATGTGGCAATTCTATTAGATGCCAGCAATTGGGATGTTAAAACTGCTCCCTCTGATGAAGAATGGTATTTTTAAAAAACATTTATCCTTTGATTATGAAATTCCTATCTGTTTGCTTCTCTCTTTTTTGCTATGGATATGCTCTGTTATTATTTATATCACTTTGTTTCATTTTTGCTTAATATCTGAATATGAAGTTGGGCATTATCCTTCATTCAGAGTCAGCTTTAATTGGAATTATTTAAAAGCCTTTTTTAAAAAATATACTATATAGTAAAAGTTGTACTTACTAATTTTCTACAAAAGATAAAATATAAAAAATAAATAAGAATTTATTTAAAAGGGAAAACATAGGCGAAAGGAAAGTGCAAAAGAATAAATAAAAACAAACAGAAATAAAGACAGAATAGCTTCCAACTTTCTTCAATAGTTACAGATATTTTAAAAAATAATATTTTAATCTAAAATTCAGTAATACCCGAGATTTCTATCATAAACATTTCTAATTGTCAAATCCCAAAATTAATATAGTATTTCTTTTGGTTACTAGCAAAATGTCCACACATGTTTTTCACTTAGAAACAAGGTAGCAGCTTAAAAGCCTTGTAAATAATCAAAATAGTACTTGAGACAATGAAAACACACTGAATTGCCTTGCTTCCCCAACACACAACTTTCAAAGAAAAGCAATCAAGATACTCCATCTGCTGGAGAATTCGTGCAGCATACTTAGCAAGGAAATACATTGATAGCCAATACATAAGGAGCTTCCTTTATGTTCTGTAAGTACTATAAACATTTTGTTTGTTTGTTTGTAAAATTTATTGGCCACATGTCTTACCACAGAGTAACTCTGCGTGGCTCACAATCTAAAAAAAGTTAAAAATTATAAAAGAGCTAAAGCATATATATCAAATGCTCTGAAGATCCAAATACTTGCTCCAATTAAAATATGGGGAGGGTGGGACCAGAATGGAGAGGAGGACGAGGATCTGTTTTCATTTCCTGCAGGGTTTTGGATTCGATATTTTATTTTATTATATTAGTGTTGCATTTTAACACTTTTACTGTAAAGGGAGGGAAAGCTGCTCAGAGTCCTGTTGGATTGGAGCAGCATATAAACCTCAATAAATGAATAATTTTTATAAAGAACCAAATGAAATACAATAGACTGTTTGATTGTTGGACTGGGAAAAATGAAACTAAATGAAGGATAAGATAGCTCAAGGTAAGTTTGAAAAGCATTACAAGTGTATTTGGCTTGTATCACAGTGCTGCATTCTGTTAGCAGGGCCTATTTGTAATTTTATATAATTGGAATGTAAACCTAACAAAGCCAGCTCAATATGTTTTATTGTCTTAAGATAGTGTATCACATAAACTAATAGAGTAAATCTGAAAAAGCATGCTGTTTATCATACATGAATCTTTCATTGTTATGCAGGATTGTTGTTATTGCATTTATACTTGATTAATTTTTATAGTAAAAGTTGTACATAATTATAAGAGAACCCAAGTTGTTACATGTTCTTTTGTTGGTTCATATTTATTTTGCTATTTCAGGCCATCTCAGATTGCTTATGCAATTAAATTAGAACAAATACAGACATTTCAGAAACTATAATCCATATTTACTCAGACATTGTATGTAAAATTAGATTTCTAATTAATATTATTTCAGTGCATGTCCAAGTGATAAACTATTATTTTCTGAAAGATAGCATGCATTCCTTTAATTGATATTTGATTCATTGGTCTCTTTCTAAAATAATGTTTTGCTTTTTAAATAATTATTATTTGGTTTATTTTATATTATAAGAAGATTCTTTTTGTTTGGTTTTTTATTGTTATATTCCCAGAGCCTTTGCAAATAAGCAGCATAAAAATAAAGTTTGTGTGTGTGTGTGTGTGTGTGTGTGTGTGTGTGTGTGTATGTGTGTATGTGTTGCTGTTACCCTGACAATAGCACAGAGTCAAGCAGAATCAGTCAAGCAGACAGATAATTACCTTCCAAAGTCACATATGAATTACAAATAATATACAGTAAAATAATTGTGGAGCTGCTTATGATAATAGCAATGTTGTAAATGTTATTAACAAAGAAAATCAACTAATTGGCCAATCATAAATTGCTTTGAATTGATAAATATTGATTGCACTAATTAAATAATAGTTATCAAAATATACAAACAAATAATAACATATATTCTTACATTTACCATATATACTCACATATAAGCCCATTCATAGATAAACTGAACCTCCAATTTTTAACCAAGATACTGTAGTACCTGTGGATAAGTCGACCTTCAAAAAAACATTTTTTTATTTTTTATAATTGGTTTGTCCATAGGTAATAGTCCATGGATCATCTGTGTTTCATGTTATTTTGATTAAAATTCTGAGGGTCAGTTTATCTGTGAATGGGCTTATCTGTTGAGTATGTAAGGGATGCGTGTATTTTTTAAACATGTACTACAATAGTGCATATACTCAAGGGTAAGCTAAACCCAATCTTTTTGGTGTTTTTCAAGATTATATTTCTTAAAACAAACCTAGAAAATTCCTTCTGGTTACCGGGAGAGACTGTTAAAAATTGTATCTGTATATTGATAGAGTTTCACATCCCAAAGAAAGGATAAGGAAAGTTAATTAATCAAGAAAATTTTGTAAAATAAAAATAACAATTATTGTTTTATTGAAGAAAAGAAATACCAAGAATAGGCGGATTATTAAACCATTACTTTAATACCATTCTTAAAATCTGAAGAGTGACTTTCCAGTTACACAAAACTATCATCTTAGCAGTACTCTAAGCTCAATACAGCAAAGCTAAAGCTCTTCACAATATGAAAAATTCCATATGTAAAAATACAATTCAACATGACATTGAGATATTTAATGTCTTTTCAAAATCATATTAACATACAGTATATATTGAGACCAAAATCACAGTATAACAGAGCAAAACCAAATGATGTCAGTTAAATAATGCTTTCATTGCCAATACAAAAAGTTTAAACATTCTTTGGATCCAAATAATATCGTCTGTTGAATTAGTTTTATTTTTAAAACATATTTCATATTTTTAATACCTGGGCTCACTGACCCTCCAAAATTGGATATTCCAGATATTTTCACAGATCAGCTCAAATATATAGGTAATACTAAATATATTTCACTTTTTTTATAAACTGACTTCCATTCAAGGACAGCATCTTTTTTTTTTTTTTAAGTTAAAATTACAAGTATCCGAGAGACTGTAAAATATAAACCAAACTGTTTAGCAGATACATGTTTCAGTTGTAATATTATATATATATATATTGCTAAGCATAAGTATGTATTACTAAAGTAATTTAAAGAATAAATCTTTGTTTAGCCCAGGCATTCCTATAGAACATCTTTTCTATTTCAGATTTGAGTTATATCACAATAGCAGCCTCACATGTGATTCAAAATCACATCATATCCATTTATCTATTACTAGTAAATGTAGTTTGAGTCTTTCAAAGTTTCTTCTAGGATGCAACACAGTTGATCCATTACCACTGCTTTGACAGCCTTTCAGAAAAGGAAAGGTTGAAGAGCAGCCATGAGTTATCTAGGATTTCAGGATCCAAAGTTGGCCTCCTAGAATGGAGCACACACCACCACCCTTTCCAGTTTGCTGGCAGCTGCCTCTCACACAGGGACGTGTTAACAAACTCATATTCATGCAATGCAGTCTCTTTAACCCCATCATTTCTTTGAAATACAATGTCACCTAATTTTTGTTAGTCCTTCCCACCATGACCTATCCTATACTGATGGCAAATACAACTAGATAGAACCAGTCTTGTTTTTTGTTCTGGCAATGCCTACTTGTTTGTATTACTTCTTTGTAAGGCATTCATAGAAAATGAGGCCATTCATGAATTGCTGACTGAAACATATTAGCAAGGCATTGTGTTGAAGGGTAATACAACAGGTACAAACTTGCATTTACCAAACATCCCAATAAATGTCTTCTGAAGATCCTATGGATCATTTCTCTGCTTCATTTAACAAATGTATAAGAAAAAGATCTTCCAAATTGTGGAAACAGTTAAAGAAAAAATGGCTGCCAATGCAGAAACTGATTTAAAGATTGCACGCACGCACACACACACACACACACACTCATGTTTGAGGGAGAGGTATGTCCATGCAGTCATCAGATATGAGGGGTGCCTTCACACCATACTATCAGTTAAATTTGGTATGTTATATTGAAATAGGCAAATTTAGTATATTGTAGTATGCAAATACTTAATGCAACCACTAGGGTCTATTTAACCTAGGTAAGGATGGGGTCCTTGATACTCTTTGAGCTTGGTTGATTTCTTGCAGATATTTCATTACCAAATTAGGTAACATCATCAGTGCTAGTAGAGAATGAGATTTGCCCTGGAAAGACACTAAAATATAAAATGAGAGCAAATGTGAATAAATGTGCCCTGAAAAGAAATACTAGGTAGTTAAATTGCAATATTTTGAACAGGAACTGAAAGTCTTTCAGTCAATCCACTGCCTCTTTGGTTGCTTTTATAGTGATTGAAAAAATAGGGGCACTAAAGAGCCAGTTCCCAAAAATTAATCAGTCATTTCCCCCACATCATAGAAATAAATAGGATTAGAGATTCCTGGCTCAAGGTAAGATCCATTTATTTTAACAGGAGATATTTAAGAATGAGTTTAGTATTTCATATAAATTAATATACTGAAATCCTTATACTGTAGTTGTGCACATGCCTACTCATGTGTAGTTTGTTAGAAAGAGTATATTCCTAGATAAGTATGTACACACCTGCATCCTTAGGCTGAAATACCATAAATATGATTAAGGTTTTATATGATCACTTGACTTAGTCTATGCAACGATAACTTTGCTACTGTTTTCTATTTACAATTGTCTATACCTCCAAATGTTTTGTTTCTTCTTAATCTGTTCCTGGGTGTTCAGAGATAGATTGCATCTTTTAATAGAGAACATTCAGTACGTTTGATGAAACAAATCACAGTCCACCAAAGCTTATGCCAAAATTTTATGAATAAGATATACTAAGATTTTGTTTCTGCTACAACAGACTAACATGATTGAAGTGATATAGTCTAAAGTTAAACACAAACTGCCCACAGAGGGCTTTCTTCAAAGTCCAGTTTATTGGTGTTTTTTTTCTAAAGTACTGTATGTGCAGTCTGTCCCTGGATAAATGTATATTAAGTAAGGTTTAATGGATCCAGTCCCAAAGATAATTGTATTGATACCACTTCTACATATTTTTCATCTCCCCTTTTTTATTCTTCCTGAAAATCACCAATATCCAATCCATTCCAAATAAAACACAACATGAATTAGTTATCTGCAAATTAAATTAACCCCAATAATTCCAATTCTATGAATATTTGTGGGAGGTGGCAAAAAGCCATTAAAATGTTTCATTTCTTATTTCTTGTAGATGCAGCTTTGAATATTCCATGAGTTTATTATTTTAAAAAAAAGTTTTATAAATCGTTTTAAGGCTGCAACTCCATGAAATCAGAACCTGGGAATAAGTATTCTTGCCCGCAGTTTGAGGTTTACTACAGAATCAATACACATGACCAGGACTGACACCTCTGTTTATTTTAAATCCAAATACATCTGTTTTAAACGAATCGGATCAGTGAACTGCTAGCGTGGGTCTGGCGCGTTTGCCTCCAAGAAGACTTTCCCGAAGTATGGGTTAATCTCCCAATATGCACCCTTTCGTTCTTGACTTTTGCTCTAGCTCTCCTGACGGCGTTTGTGAAAATGAGCGATACTGAAAAGCTTGCCATCCCGCTAGTTGCAAGCCTCGCATAAACGATGACAATGGCTCAGAGGGTTTTTCCCCCTCAAGTGAACGGGGTAGATCTGTGAAAATAATATCAGGCTTATCCGTCAGAATGAACGTCGGCGCACAGCCAGGCGTGCACTAATCTGACCCGACACCTCCAAACTATCTGCGCTATTTATCCGCCGCCTGATTTGCCAGATCTTCCGAGAAAAAAGTCGCCGTGTGCTGAAGAATACTGAAGAAAAAGCGACGGAAGAACCTCCCTCTAGCCTCAGATTTCTCTCTCAGGATAGAGATCGCTGCTCGCATCTCAAGGTGGAGGGGTTTTTTTTGCACTGCGAAAGGAACGCAGTTTTTTGAACACTGTTCTTTAATGTTCTGGGCAGGAAAAGAGGTGTCCTGGATTTGCCTTTCAGAAGAGCCTTCCTGCAACCTAAGGACGCTCTGATGTACTGAAATATAAATCCCACGGTTGCTGGCGGCCAACTCCGTTAATCCACCACCAAACTAGAGAGTACTAGCCTTGGGGAGCGGGGTTGTTCTGGAATAAATCGGACACCTTGAACAATTTCCCTGCATCGTCTTCTTTCTTCTCCTAAAGTTGCAGCTCACATCCCTCTAGAGAACGAAAACACCGAATACGAAATGATAATTATTTTTCTTTTTAGAAACAACTTCCCTAAGCATTATAGGAAATGTTTTGTTGTTTCAAGCAAGGGACTGGACCTAATAATAGAGAGCGGAATTAATCTTTATCACTAAGAACCGCTCAATACTGTAAAAGATTGTGTGGAAATCGCTTGTGCTGACCTACAAATGACTTCTCACTTCTTTCCCGGATTTTTCTGAGTGTTTATTCGAGGCTGCTAGAGCGCAAAGATGAGATCTGAAATGGTGGGGTTGGCGGTAGGGTGCAAATTAAGGAAACAAATGAATGGGGAGGGAAGATCCGCTAGCAGGGTCCTGGATGCCCGATGGAGAGAAAGAACCGATGGCTTCCAAATATTCTTTCGCAATTTTAAAAATAGATTTTAATGAATCCAGTCAGAACCCGCCCCCCCACAACTAATCGGTAAACGGCTTTCAATCTCTTGGACGATTTCTATCTTCCGCATCCTTGGAAGTAAATCTCAAAGTGTCCTTGAGGACTTTCAGTCATCCAGGCAAAGGTGTCTGAAGGTTGAAACACCGTAACTTACAAAATTTTTGTTAGCTTCATCAATCAGAATTTTACATAACGCACATTTACACAATGCAGTTAACCCGGATACCGAATTAGCCGTTTTCTGTGTTCCCACTTCAAATCGAAGTATAAGGTAACTAGATGACTGGATGCTTTCACGTCAAAAACCCAAACAACCTAAACAAACCAAGTTTAATATGTTCACATATATCCAGTAGACCTTTGCTTGACTTGTAAGTCATGTTCAATAATATGAAGACAATACATTCATTGAATTTTAGGACTAACTTTGCTTCAGCAAGAATTAGATTGGGTTGCAACCGTTACATTGATGCTTCCCATAACGTTGATTTTTTAAAAAAAATCTGCTGTAGGCTAAACGCAGGTGTGTGTGTATGTGTGTGCGTTCATTTATTACCATCCAGTATCGGGGCAAAACGACTGTCTAATATTCCAGCGATCCGCCACAGGTTTGCAATTCATTCATTCCACGCCTGTTCATTCAGAACCAGGCGTTAGAATCAATGCCATTTACTCCCCAGTTCAGTATGAATGGGATTCCAGACCGAGAGGAAAGCTGAAAATGAAGAGAGTTTCATTGCCCGGATTTCCAGGATGTGTGTTTGTATGCCCACTACGTTTGGAAACAGATCTGGGCACAGTTACACAGCCCTCGCTTTGGCATGCAGGAGTTTCAAATTCAGGTCCTGCCACTGCCAGGTGCAAGTATAAAATGGTAGATTATGGAAAAAATACGTTTTCCTCGCCGGGTACCCTGGAGAATGCTACTGGGCTAGAGGTCTCCTGTTACACCCTTGTAGCGGGCAAGTTCTGGGCAGCCTCTTCCTCTCTTGTTCTCACCTCTTCTCCTCCGGGATCTGTAGTAGAAACCGCGGCGAACCCCGTTCTGGCCCTCACCTCCCCTTTCCGGACTATTTCCGCATGCCAACGCCCCGCACATTTTGTTCAGCCTGCCGATCCTACTCTCCTCGTCCTTCGGTTGGACTTCGCACCGGGCGATCTCTCCCCCCCCCCCCTCCAGTTGAGCGCTCTCGACCGCTGGGAGAAGCAGGAGGAACGAACGAACGAAAGACCATCCTTTTCTCTCGCAGCTCGGCCGGTGCTCCCGCGTTGGCTTGCTTCACAGGCGTTGATTGGCAGAAGGTTGACAGTGATGGGCAGGCGCCCTTTCCATGGAAACGGAGGGGCAGCCAATCTGGCGAGGCCGATAGCAGCAAATAAGAAGCAGAAAAGGCGACGACGGCAAAGAATGTGCGGAGGGGGGGGGTGTCGTTGGTTGGGGGCATCTGGGGGCTTCCCCCATCCTCCCTCCCTCCTCCATCGCTTCTTTCCCTTCTCCTCCTCCTCCTCCTCCTCCTCACACACATTCTCTTCCTCCCTCCCTCCCAAACTTCAGGCCACAGCCGGAGCGCGGGCCATTCTGCTTCCCAGCGCAGCACTCGTGCGACGGCGGCGGCGGCGGCGCTGCAGCGGCTGCTGTTAAAAAGGTTCTCCAAGCGGCCGTCTGAAGCGCGGCGGGAAAGAAAGGGCAGAATGAAAAATTAAAATTAAAAAGCAAGGCGAGAGCGGCATTTGATTCCTCAGCTGGAGAGCCACACCGCCACACTTGCCTCTCTGTGCCCACCCAGGAGAAGAAGAGCGAAGAATCGGCTCAGCTCAGCCCCAGCTCGAGATCAAGGGGACAAGAAGTTCCGGAGCCCGGGATTGAAGGGCCGAAGCTCTCGACTAGCCTGAGACGCAGAAGAGAAGAGGCGACTCAGCCCAGGAGCCCGCCCGGCCGACCCGGCCCCACCCGGCCGTCTCCATGTTTCAGCTGCCGATCCTCAACTTCAGTCCGCAGCAAGTGGCCGGGGTGTGCGAGACCCTGGAGGAGAGCGGCGACGTGGAGCGCCTGGGGCGCTTCCTATGGTCGCTGCCGGTGGCGCCGGCGGCGTGCGAGGCGCTCAACCGGAACGAGTCGGTCCTCCGCGCGCGCGCCATCGTGGCCTTCCACGGCGGCAACTACCGCGAGCTCTACCACATTCTGGAAAGCCACAAGTTCCCCAAGGAGTCGCACGCCAAGCTCCAGGCGCTCTGGCTCGAGGCGCACTACCAGGAGGCCGAGAAGCTCCGCGGCCGGCCGCTGGGCCCCGTCGACAAGTACCGCGTGCGCAAGAAGTTCCCGTTGCCCCGCACCATCTGGGACGGCGAGCAGAAGACGCACTGCTTCAAGGAACGCACCCGGCACCTGCTCCGCGAATGGTACCTGCAGGACCCTTACCCCAACCCCAGCAAAAAGCGCGAGCTGGCCCAGGCCACGGGACTCACCCCCACGCAAGTGGGCAACTGGTTCAAAAACCGGCGCCAAAGGGACCGGGCCGCCGCCGCCAAGAACAGGTCAGTGAGTAGTTGAGACCCGGGACGCAGGAGGAAGGCGAACGGGGAAGGGCGGGTAGCTCAGCTCTGCCCAGGCATTCTGTGCGGTACGGCTGGCAGATTCACACGACATTTTAAACTTGGGTCAGCCGTGCGAAAGGAACATGCCATACCCTGAGAAATAAATCTTATTGTGTCCCTACTTGATGGACTGCTTGGCACTGCTCGTTAAACCCACTGAATCTAAGCGTTTTCCAGCCTCATTTTAGGCTAGTCTCTCCTGTGATGGAGACCCCAGTGAGACCAGCCAAAACTACTTGATTTGCAAATATGATCCGTTTCTGTGAGCCCTGCTCCAGAATACACGTTTGGAACCTAGTTGTAACCCTAAGCATATTTATCTGGAAGAAAGACCATGCTCCTAAATCTTAATTAGAGGTCAGAGGAATATTTTTCACTCTTGTTATATTATTATCGTTATGCTGCACAGTCAGTCAGCCAGTCAGATATTTTGGACTGGATTTTGCATTTTTGACCACCTGTTCTGTCCTTCTCCAGGGCCTAGGATAGGCAGATTTGTTGTTTGAATTATTATTGTTGTTGTTATTTGCCAAAGGTCTTCAACAAAGCCTTCTTTGAAATCCTGTCTCAAAGATCTTAGCTGGTTTTACAGGAACAGGAAGTGAGGAGATAGATTAGGCTCCCTTCTATCATGCTCATAATATAGATGTCCATTTTGTTGGTGTTGAACCTTAGTTTTTATGATATAGTTGTCAACATGGAATCAGAAAGTTTGACTTTGCAGGAATAGTTCCAATTCAAAGAAATATGGCCTGTTGTAGCCTCTGGGATTTTTATTTTACAGTCATTTTTTTGAGAATCGCAAAGGCAAAAGTGCTTGACAATCACAGCTTTTCACTCTTGACATGTATGCAGGAGTAATCATTCTAGTTACGTGCAATTCATTTAGTTTCAAAATAATTTTTTATTAATGTTAAATCTCTATTTCCTACTGTACTGATTTAAGGAAGAATTTTTAAAAAGAATTTTCATATGTGAGTATTCCCCAATAGGGAGACATGAGTTACAGATATCAATATATTGCTATCTGCTTATTTTTAACAATTAAATATCAACTATCCATGGTATGAATATACAAAACTGAGAATTAATGAAATTCTAAGTAAGTATATAATGGCAGTTATTTTTATATATAATGTTTTAAGGCAATTATTTGATGTAGTAGAATTCCATTCTGAAACATCTTTTAGCAGCAGGTGAAAAGGTGCAGTTAAAAAAACTGAAGAACATTTTTTTAAATTAATTGAAAATTCAAAGGAATTATGTCAATGATATAACATACAGTTTTAAAATCCAATTAAACAAAACATTTACAATTATAACTGTTATAATTTTCTTTGACATTTTTCATTTTTACTATTTATCCAAAGTATACTTTGAACAAAAGTAAAAACTGAAATGTAAAACATATATGGGATTCCAACTTAACTTACTTCGGTTTAGAGTAAAATCTTGCAAATTTGTTAGACAAATAAAGCCTCATGACATTCACCTGCAGCAAAACTGACTACCAACAGAATTAGAAATAATTATATTGTATGTCTTTATTTAAATGGCTTCAGTATAAGGCATACACCTTTCTTGTGAAGCCAAATCATTATCCTTTGTTTCTGTGAAGATAGGTTGCAGCTAGGTTGTGCCCTCTTGGAAGAATATTAACTGTAATGGTTTGTAGAATGTAGGTGAGAATTTATGTGGCTATATGATAAAACACTTTAAGGTATGCATGCCTGCATAGGAATAAATATGGAATAAACCAAGAAGGAAAGAATGTGCTTTAAATAAAAGCCTTGCTCTTGTAGAAGAGATTTTCTGATCCATTTAGACATGTTAATTAGCACAAATGACCTCTATTTTTCAGGAGGCAAACAATAGCTCCCCATTCATGACTGTTGTGTAGGAATGTAAAACAATTTGGTCCTATTGACTTCCACAATACTCAGTTTAAATCCATGAGACATGATACACAGCTAGGGGCTATACTAAAATACTATTTTTCCTATATATTTCCTTTCCTGGAGAAATTCCCTTTTAATCAGAAATTTACTTGTGCAATATGAATTTTTCCAGCATTCCTCCTTGGAATCAGGTTTAAGAAGAATATGTTGTTCCTGACATGTAATTGATCTCAAGGACAAAATGTATGGGAAAATTAATTTGAGGTAATACCATCATTTAAATTCTTGAATTTTCATTAAGATGATTAATAAGAATTAGCTTATTAATTTGTAATAGAACTGGGTAACCAAATATCATCAAGTTTAGCATTTCCCAATGTGCAGCCTTAAGTAGCAAGTACATGGTTTCCTTAAATCATCTAAGACCGAAAAGGTCAGTGAAGCAAAACTATAATGAAGGCTTAGACATTTTGTGTGGTTAGGATACAGTTAGGACAGAGGTGAGGACAAAGAATACAGCAATACATTGCTTAATTAGGTAATAATTTCCATAATTTGTCCTCACCTATTTTCTAAAATAATTAAAATAAAATATTTTCTGTTCTGTATATTTGGAAGTACAATTAAAATGGGTTATTTTCAGTCTGCTGCCTTGAAAGCTATGTTCAGAAAATAGCCTTTTTTTTTCTATGGATTTTCAGATTTTATAAGTATAATGAATATAAATAAATGTTATGTAAAATAAGAGGGAGTATAACAATAATGGTTTAGAAGGGTTATTTGTACAATTAATGGGCGAGATAATTTGATAGGAAGAGGTAATTAAAAGACAGTATCTTTGCAATAGAAAAAAATGTCTTCTTAAATTTATATTCCCACATCCCAGTTCAATTTTCATTTAATAGTTGGAACTGGAAAGATAAACAATATTGAAACAAAGAATGAAAAACACAATTACTTCAGATAAAATGATAAGACCTCCTTCAGAGAATACACATATTTTTATTTATCTTTAGTATAATTCCGAATAGATTTGAAAAAAATGAAATTTCAGGAAGAAATTACACAATCAAATCTTATTTGTTGTATTCTGTTATTATTTGACAGTATAAATGTGGATATTGTTTTCACTCTCATTGTCTATTAATCTGCTAGATTAATATTATCTTTGTTCTAAAAGCAGTACTCAGGCATAACAGCAATTATAGCTTGATAAAAGTGTGAGATAATAGTGCTGGAAATGTATTTTATACATATACTTTATGTCTGAATATTTTTTCCTTGGATACAATTTTTATACTATTTTCTTAAATACCTTCATAGATATATTTTTAAAAAGGTGTTTTACATTATTTGGAGTTGCATACATATTCATCAGACACATCTATAACTTGAAGTTTTGTTAATACTGAATTTACATGTGGAGTAAACTGTTACTTGGAAAAGAAAAAGATGTCATCTATATTTATATATGTTCTTCTGGGACATGTGTAGCAATTATAATTGGCATAACAAAGAAAATATCATATTGTAACAGGTCTCAAATTGTATTTTTCATATTTCTTCATGTATCCTATAATAAACCTTCTAGATATTCTAGATATTACTGACTTTCAATCTTCTAGTATTATATAGGAATTATTTCCAATAAAAAGCAAATTCTTATATAAGATCTTAACTCAAATGAAAAACCTAGTAAAACCATATAATTATATTCATATAACTATATAATGAAAAAAGAAAAGGTTGTAAAACATAGCATTTCTAGTAAAGCCATTTCTATAAAGCGTGAAATGCCTTCTAAAAAGAAGTAGCCAAGATATTTTAAAACTGCTATTAAATACCAGTACAATGCAACAACCAAAACTTACATCATTTGAAGATATAATATAAATATTTAGTGAGAATCATCTAATTCTTAGAATAGAATAACAGGGGCTGCAAAATAGATGGGTGAATTATTTAAAAATTATGTGGAGAGAGGAAATTTAATTCTTTATCTGTGATGTGTTTTAACACGTATATAGAGATCTACATCCCTGATATCTCCTTTGATCCACAGGTCTAAAAATGATATATTCCTCCCATCAATTTCTCATACGCACATAAATTTTACTTACGAAGTAGACAACAGGGTAAGGCATAGAGAGCAGATAGACTGTTGGAGTTTATTGTTGATGGACAATTTAATCTGGGGGGATTTGGGGGCTACATTTGGCTTCTTAATTATCTGCATATGGCACCTGGGCCACAAATTGAGAGCAAGCATGGTATGGTAGTTAAGATATTGGAAAAGGATTGAGGAAACCCACCTAGGTTCTACTTCACCCTCAACCAAAAAGACTCACTAGATGAATAACTTTGGGCTAATTGTTCTTTCTCTACTATCTCAGAGAACTATTGTGGGGAAAGAAATAAGAGAAGGAAGATAGAAGTATGCTGCCTCAATCTCCTAAATGAAAGACAGAAGACAGAATATAAATAAAATGCATAGTGTAGATTCTATAGTTTAAACACACAGTTGTGTCAACCATACTTTTTTTCCCGATGCCCTCTAAATTACAATAGCATCTTATTTAGGACACTGTACTATCGTTGATATTGAAATAAATTCAGCCATTATGCCAATCATCTACATAGTGGAGGTGTACCATCTTCTCTCTCGTCTTCAATGGCAAATTGATTTGACCCAATCTTGATGGTAAATATTAAATAAAGGGGAGAGAGGGTAGTTAGTAGACTTCTATGCTCAGCAATTCATTTGTAATAGACAAGAGCTATATCTAGCCAGAGACGCCTACAAGAATATTCTCTGTATTATTTATGCCCCTCCTCTGATTCTTAAACTTATCCAAACTCTAAATGAAGAAATTCTCTTTTGCTATCTTGGTCACACATATATTTATTTTTCATATGATGATTCATGTTTGGTCTATTCAAAACTTACTCTAGAAGGAGAGAAATAAGAGTTATTATTTTATCTTATCACCCAAAACACTTCCTTATATATGGAAGTGTGAATGTGGTCTGTCTTGCTTTGAAGTTAAGAGATACAGTAGATGGAGCTTGGGTAGAGATTATAAGTGAGAAGGCAGATAAAATGAACATTGATAATACACAGAACTGTACTGTGTAAGAGAAACTGGTGTGGGGAAAATGTGGCAGAATGTAAAGATATTTTGTGATGCAAAGATAAGTTGATACATTGGTGAGGGGTTTTTTTTGCAAATGAGGTCTGTAAGGACATTAAGCACTGTAAGAAACTGTATGTATATGGGATTCCAATAATGACTGGCAAGTATCAGAAGTGTAGGGAAATCTCTCTTCCCAAAACAAACCTTTAAGGAGCTTAGCTGGAAACACTATTTACTATGGGCCACTCCCCTTCATTGAGTTAAAGTGCTATCCATCTACCCTTGAGTTGGCATTTAACAACATCAGAATAACAACTACTGACCCTGATGTCAATCCCTATTGTACTTTATTGTATCTGTTCCTAGGCATTGCTAAATGATGCTGTCCTGATTTGAGGGTGCCAGTCATAATAGGATAAGTGACTGGAATGTTCTGCTTTGGTCCACTTTCAGCATGTCATCAGCCAGTGGGAGAACCATCCATCATTTAGGGCACTATAGCAAAAAAAACCATTCAGTCATGTCCAACCCTTTGCAACTTTATAGGCAATTGCTCTCCATGCTATTCCATCAAGCACATTTTCTTTCAGTTGTTGAATGTTCATCTTTTTATCACAGCAAATATTTTGTGGCTTATTTCAGCCTTCTGGATTGTTTTCTGCCCCCACCTCCCCAACCAGTCATCTCATTTGATCATCTCCCCAATAAAATAAAATGAAGGATATGGGGAAAACACCAGGGAGATATTAGTTGCAGAAGGAAGAAACCAGATCCTGGTATAAATGTTCAACTGGCTGGGTCTGATAGTGAAAAATAATTAAAACCAACTAGCTGCTGGGCAACCAAAAGTGGACAGAGGAGGAATTAAAATGGGCAGATACAGGGAAACTGCAAATAGGCAGACAAAACCCATTTCAACAGCCATCATTCTTTGGAGGGAGGAAATGCAGGGATGCTGCATCTTAAAAATACATTTTCGGGTATTACTGTACTAAAATGAGTTCATACAAATGAGGCATTCTTACTCCTGGATTAAAATAGTACAATTCTGCTCTTTATTTTTGGGGGTGCCAGGATAGATGTTAACTGTCAGAAATATGGAGGGAACTGACAGGTATGGGACCCTAGAAAATAAAGTGATGATGGAGACTGGGAGCTGGGAAAGAAATGGCTGTAGTAAAGCCTGACTAGTGACCTAAGGTCAAGCCTGTTAGCTGTGCCTTCCAATGCTTACAGTACACATCTTCATCTCCACAAAGCATTATCTTTGTCTCCAAAGGGTCAAAAATCATTACCGGTTTAACATAATTTAACCGTGGTGGTGTACTGTTGGCTTACGAGGGAAAATACTGCATGTACTACTAATGAAAATTTCTATCAAGCTATGATTGTGCCATTGTTAAGTGCATGTGGGATTAAGGCCAAAAACAAATTAGGTGATTCATTGAAACATTTTATTTGGCCTTCAATTTTTTTCCTTGACCAGGAATTTATATTACCTCAGAGTGTATGCCAGTGGGGGTAGGGGGTAGCCAGGCATTTGAGTCACTTTTGACTCCTGATGACTGTCTGGACAAGTCCCTGTCATTTTCTTAGCAAGGTTTTTCAGAAATGTTTTTCAATGCCTGTTTCCTAGGGCTGAGACATGACTGGCCCAGGATCACTTTGCACCTAAAAAGGGGTTAGAACTCACAGTCTCCTAATTTCTAATCTGATGCCTTATTCACTACATCAAACTGACTCTCCTACTTATTATCAGGTATATTCTCAGACTATCCCTGAAAAATCATGTCACAAATATACTGAGAGCAACTGGGAATACGTGAAAAATTTCCAAAGTGTGATCAGGAATTAAGATGTAAAAAAAAGATTTTGTATGAAATATGGCTGTGATGTTAATATACAAAGTTGTTTTATACTGGCTTCTTGCTGGCATGAGAAATGCTAGTATAAAATAACTTTGTATATTGTCCCCATACCTCATTCCATAACAAAACCTTTTATCTTATTTAGGGAATAAGATAGATTACATGTAGCTAGAAATGTTTTCAAAGTTTATTATTAATCAAACATCAAAGTATTTCTTATATTTCTTTTCAAATTCTTGAAACTTGATGTGATTTTACAATGTTTTACTTTACTAAGATAGTTATTGTATTTTATGTAGCAATACCAATAGCACTTAGACTTATATATTTCTTCACAATTCTTTACAGCACTTTCTAAGCGGTTTACAGAGTCAGCTTATTGCCCCCAACATTTGGTCCTCATTTTACAGGACCCAACAATCTTGGTCTTTATTTTACAGACCTCGGAAGGGTAGAATGCAGAGCCAGTCAGGATCAAACTCCTGGCAGTGGGCAGAGTTAGCCTGCAATACTGCATTCTAACCACTGAGCCACCATGGCTGAAGTTATTATTTGGACTGCAATAGATTTCAAAAGGAACCAATATTTAGAATTCATAAATAGTTGCAATAATATTTGTAGTAAATTAATGATTAAAGCGTCATATTGAAGAGGAAGAGACAAAAGGGAAAGCCGTTAAAATGTAATTGTGTGGAATCTTAATATTTTACTCTGTTTATTCCAAAATTCTATTGTGTTCAATACATCAGCGTCTACTATTGATATAACATGCCAGCTTTTATTGTGCTCAGACTTAATAACTTGAGGTCCATAGATATCTCTCATCAACTGGCCATGCTCCTTGCCCCATCTGACTTATGATTATTTTTTTAGACACTGAAAAAAGGGGAAGCACATGTTTCCTAATCAAAAGACTTCCAGAATTATAATTATCTTCAGGGCTAGTTGCTGAAAGGACCAAAATATATCATGTTCGTCTCTATCTCACTATACCAAAAACCACTGGGTAAGTAGCAGTTCCAAGCCAGCCTTATCCCACTAATAGTTAATCAGGCTTAGACCTAATTAATAGTGGGATAGGGACCATAGGAAATCTGAGGAGTAGGATCAATCAATACTTTTTAAAAAGAAATCTCCAAAGAAGCAGTGTCAAACTGTTTTCTTAATGTTGCCAAGAAAGCTAAATAGATGAGTATTAGGAGTCATTGAGATTGACTATAAAATGAAGCCTATCTGACAATAAACATACACATTTTGTGTATAATCTCTATATGTGAAACAAAGAATTTGGGACCTTTGTGGTGGAAATAAGTTTCTGCTGACTTTTCTCTGTAACTGGGCCATGTTTGGGGTTATGTTATGGTTGTCATTAAGAGAAGATGCTGTGGAGGCTTGTTTTAAGATTGGTGGGGGGTATGATTTTGTAGCAACCTTGAAGGCAGAATGATGCTAAGTGGGCTAAATGGTGGAGATGCTAAGTCAGCAGTAGGTGAGGGAAGGGGAGAATTTCAGTGGGGGGGAAATGCAGAGGATTTTTTTTTAAAAGAAAGAAAGAACAAGAGCTGCTCTTGGACTTTTCAACATGGAGGGATTGTCATCAAAATTATATCTGAGTATTGAAATGAACAGACAAATCAATATGTTTCATTCAACACAAAGTGAATTAATGAAGTCATAATGGCGGAAGGCAAAACAATATCTTAATCACAATCCATGCTGTTGATTTTAACGGAGAAACAACAATGGAGGGGAACAATAACGTTGATATTTATTTATTTATTTTATTTATTTTATTTGCCAATTGTTTACAAGATAATAAGTATAAGTGTATACATAGTTGTGAATACATGAAATGGGTACATATAAGAAAAATAAAAGAAGAATAAGAGAAACAATAGGACAGGGACGGTAGGCACGTTGGTGCGCTTATGCACGCCCCCTACAGACCTCTTAGGAAAGGGGTGAGGTCAATAGTAGACAGTCTAAGGTTAAAGTTTTTGGGGTTTGGGGAAGAAACATATGGTAGATGAGCGGAATATATTCCAATTTGGGGGGGGGGGGCTGGATCCGAAAACCGGCGCAGAATTCCGCGGGCCGGAAGACGGGCAGAACCAGCACTGGGGAGCGAGATTCGTAAGGCAGAAGCAGGGAAAGGCCGGGCGACCTGAAAGGCGGGCGGAGAGCGGGCTGCCTTTCGTGGCCGCCGCCACTTGAGTCACGACCCTTTCTCTTCTCTTTCCCCCTCGCAGGCTCCAGCAACAGGGACTCTCGCAGGGTGCGGGGCGGTCGCTGCCGTCGGAGGAAGAGAGCGCGGGCGAACCGCCGCTCGGTGCCGCCGCCAGCCCTGCCGCCAGCCTCTCCAGTAAAGCCGCCGCTTCCTCGGCCATCTCCATCACTTCCAGTGATAGCGAATGCGATCTGTGGGCAGCAGAAGAAAGGCCCCGCTGAACCTGCGTGGAGTACAGTGCGGAGTCTGCGGACGACGAGGGGGGACCTGGCGAGGACGCAGCGGTACCCCGAGGGCGGCCCTCGAGACGTTACACGGCCAGCCTCCCGGATCGCCGCCTTCAGCCCTTTGCCTTGTCCGCAGTCCGGGGTCTCTGCGCCTGAGAAACTCCCGCCAACGAGACTCAGCCCGACCAGGCCCTGCCGAAAGAAAGACTCCCGAACCTTGAATTCTTCGAGCAGGAGTTATTGGAACGAGAACGGGTGGAGTCAAACATCAGGCCCAGAAAGAGTGACACCTGCCTCACCTGCTGCCATCTATTATTTTTTTCCTCTGGAATATCCGATTGCAAAGACAGTGATTTTTGTTTATTTCGTTTTTAGTTTTGTTTTTATATATATATATATAAATATAAATATAAATATTTTATATAATGTTTATTGAGTTATTTAAATTGCTCCGTTGGTAGATTGTCTTATTTGGTGACCATAATCATGATTAATATTATTGTTATATTATAATGGGGCGGTGCCTATGTGAATAACTGATACTGTATTTCATTTCCTCCATTTGTGGAGCATGTGCAGGATCTGGTATTGTATGGAGAAGAAAGGCAGCCAGAAAACAGAAGGAACAAATGAAACCAGTATAATAATATATTCGGTGAGCAAAATAAATTCTGCTATTCCCTTCATTGTGTTAAAAAATTCTTAATCTTGGAAAGAACAGGTATTGAGAAGGGTGGGTAAGTAAAAAAATGTGAGAAAGGCAGCTAAGAACAATACCTGGCAAGAGGGGATTTTCAAAACAGTGGGCTGCGTTTGCAATTTACTTTACTCATGATTAATTGTCTCATTGGGGCTATTCAATTAATTCTATTATGGATTCATTCAATGCAAAATTATGTACTAGTCATAGGGACTGGCTTTGCAGAAAAAGAGCTGTCCTACAATGTGGAAGACTAGTTAATTCACTTGTTCTTGTTGAGCACACAGCAGTAGATAGTAGGTCCTTTTCTCATTTAAGCAACACTTGTTCCCTTCATTTTGGTGACATGGATGGAAGTTCATTTATAAAGAAAATTATTGCTCCGTGCTCATTACTGAGTCCTCCCCACCAGTGCCCAGGATTTTATGAATTAGGGATAATACCAGCCAGATTGAACCAGAGATAAAGGAAGGGAAGAAAAGAGAAGGAGGGGACAAATGCATTTACATTAAAAAAAACAACAAAGCTAAGTAAATCTTTTGGCATCCTGGAAAGAGGCTACAATCCATTTTAGCACATTACTTGCAATAAGCCCCCTTAAGTCAATAGGATATTCAATTTCTAAGTAATCATGCCTAGGTTTGGACTATATATCTTTTTTTTTCTACAGAAAGGAAAGGGATAGATGTGATGATAGTCTTTTCACTTTCAGATTCCTAAATCCCAATTATATGAAGTAGTCATTAAGAACAGGGTTACAAAATTAATCCTTCTAAATACTATAAAATAAAATCTTATCTTTTCAGTATGGAAAATGATACAGAATTGCAACTGTACTTCATTTTCTATAATAACTTTATAATAACATGGCTATTGAACCTGGCCAATACCAGGACCTGGGTATGATCTGTTAATACTTCAGGGTTTAATAGGTATAAACCTGAAAAATGCATGGACCACTTTAAAATATGCTGTAAAAATATGGTATACAATGTGATTTACTGTATACTCTTATCTACTTAGCAAAATTAATACTGTATTATGTTTCACGCCTCAATAGTTTTTCTGTGTACTAACTGCATAGGATCAGTCCAGAGAAGGTTACAATCTTATGACAATGGGATCCTAGGTTTATGTACTCAAGAAAAGGAAATGCAACTCACCCTGAAGTAGGTAAGTGTAGGATTGCAGCATTACCTGTAAATGTCTTTGAACTATTGTAACTTCCTTCCATGTAAGCATACACAAAACCAAGGTTGTACTATCAGATACAAAGCATCACTCTTTAAAATCAAGCTTTTATTTTCATTCAAAGATAAAGCATGTTGCTGTCCCCATTGCCCACTCTACAAATTATTTTGGCTAATGTTAAAAAGTGATGCTGGTTTTATTGTATTTCTATTCTGTTTCTTTTTCCCTCCACCTTGGAATTAAAATTTCATTAGACAGAACCTGAGTGTCCCCATCCAGGCTATGTTCTGATATTGTGCTTCTTAGATTCTGTAACCCTTATAATAAAAGAGCATGTTTGTGAGCTGCTAGATATTTACTAGGTTCACAACTCCACTGAGAAAAAACTCCATTTGTCAGACTGAGAGAGGCAGCCTGGCGGGAACCCTGCAAATTCTTGCTTGGCTTGTTGGGTGGATCCCCCCCACTGCCTAACGGGCCCAGATTTGGTGGAAGAAAGCAAAAGGCCTTTAGCAGGAGCGTCAGCTAAGCTGCTTTAGTGTGTGTGGGTTTTCTCCTTCCCCAGCCAAAGGGATTTTATACCATTATAGAGTTTGAGCACTGATCTTTAAATCATTTGAGCTGTGCTGTTTCAGTCTTGTTTTTTCTGGGTTATTTTCTTTCTTTTCTTTCTTTTTTCTTTTTAAAAAGCTGGTTGCTTGCAGTTTGATTTCTTTTTGCTGGGAAAAGACAGGGAAGAAATGACAGACAGAGTAGAGAGTCAGCTCTTTTAGAGAGGTTACTGGAAAGCTATTGCTTAGAAGGCAGTGTTGTATATTCTAATATTCCCCCCACTTGGAAATAAACTCCATTATTATTCAGAGGTTTCAATTCTGTTTCTGGGGACTGAACTGCAGTATCACTTATATTCTACTGGCACTACTGCCAGTAAAAGGCTATAAGCCACCTAAAACAGGTGTAGGCTGGTTGCCCATGTATCAATCAGAACATCTCTTTTCTTTTTAATTTAAAGAAAACAGGAGGAAGCAAGCTGGGATACCCTCTCTAAGAGCTGATTACTAGGGGAGTAAGTTGTATTGGGTGCAACGGTATTCATTTTTGATTAAATAGCAGACCTTGCATACCTTGCTGTCCAGATAAGCAGCAGCATCCTGTATATAAAGGAACTTTTAAGTTCTCTGACTGGAATGAATCTTCAGAATCCCTTGTTTTAAAATCACACCTTATGTACGGCAATATTGAAATATCTGTTGGGGGTGGACGGGAAACATGCTGAGGAATGTACTTATACCTAGAAATACAAATTATTCGTAATACATTAAAGAACGCAATATAACATAATTAAAGAATTAAAGATCACCATTTATTATAATACATGCTTTAAATTATTTATTTATTTATCTGAAGTTAAGCCAGGTTTATTCCCTTAAAAGATCTCTTACTGAACATTTAATCCAATTCACCCATGGTCAATGGAAGAGAGATCTAATGTTTCAGAATATAAACCAAAGTGGGGTTCTGCTTTAGGCATGAATTCAGAGACATGTCTGTCTATGTTGTTGAATAAGAATGATCCAGTGAAATACATATATAACTTTGAATAGGATAACAATTCCTTTGCTTGCCTTTTAATACAGTACATGCAGGATAAAACACTGTCCAACTTAGCTGATCCTTTTGGTAAACTAATTGCTAAATGTAAAATCAGCACACTGGGGAAATCTCATTGTGAGTCATTGTGCCATCTCATTGTGGAAAATCTCTAGATTACACTCACCTTAGTGCCAAAGCTACTTGGCTAGGATCAGAGATCTTCTAGACTGAATCTGGGTTTGAAAATCAAGAACAGTATTTCTCACAAATGTTGGAAACAAGGCACTGCCAAAAGCTTCCCTCTTTCCACTTTCATAGCAGACAAGGCAGTTTTGTCAACATTCTTTGTTGTATAGTCAAAACCATGGAGTTGAAATCAGAGACACTGAAGTGCATATTAAACCTGTCTCAAAATGTTGCAGCATGGAACACTTTTGTTTGGCACCCTGTGACCTTCTCTAGAGCACCCTATAACAACCTCGTCCCTCCCCTTTTTCAGGTTTCACTCCCCCAACATCACGCAGCATTCCCCTCATCAATCAGCATGCTTACACATCCCAGAAGGTGCATCTTCCCGATTTAGGATTCTTAATCCTAATCATTTGTTTATATTTCTGTCCTTGCTCTCAAACTTAAAATGGCTCCCCTTTGTTTACAGTGGACACTATGTGACTGCACCAGAGATCCCATTGGTAGCTCCGAGTTGACCTTGACTGATCTCAAAACAGCTAAGCAGGTGAAAGTTTCCTTAGTGCTTGGATAAGAGAACATCAGGAAACACCATTTTATTTTATATTTTATATTTAAATTATATATAATTTATAATTTCATATTGTATGCTAAACAGGGAAGCTGAAAAGATATTCCAGAAGATGGCAGTAGGAACATGTTGTTATCAAGAATACATGTCCATTAAGGTATCAGATATAGGGGAATTACTGTTGCATAGCCCTTTACTGATACTTTCCCTGTCTTTACACACTTCAACAATAGTGGGACTGCAATTCTCAGAATTTCTACCCCATGCTAGCTACTTGTTCAGTAAGCTGCAGTCTCAGGATCTTTGGAAGACACCAAGTTGAAAAAGCTACTCTATTGCTTGGTATAAGGAGAAGATTTTAAAGAGCCATTTGCTTCTTCTGGAGGTAAGAAGTTAAAATGTACAATAACGAGAATGTCAAAGACTTGCTGCATTGATTGAAGGACTGGAGTATTAGGGGTGGACCTGTCCACTCTTTACCAACATTCCCCCTCCTGTTGTTTAAGAGGAACAAATAAATAAATTGCAGAAATTAGCTGCAATCTTTGCCACTGAAGAATTTCACGTCTGTGAAAATACCTCTTTTAAGAGGTGGGGGTCGCCTTTGCTTCCCTCATTCTTTGAATGGGGCACACATTTGTCTGGGTTAAAATGATGGAACACATTGACTTGATATGAAATGGATTGCTGTGATCAATATATGACACTAAAATTAGCATGAAACAGTCCTTTCTGTCAGCCTAAAAACAC